GGGAGGGCTCTGGGGTCAGTATCTGTTCCTCAATTGGACAGCAGATTGTAGGGCTGGGGGGGGCATGCTGGTTTTCCCCTTCTCAGTCAGGAGACTTGGTTCCAGATGACTGTTCCTATCTGCTGCCAAATGAGCTTCCATGAAGGTCATTCTCTCCAGATCTCAGTTCCCCTTTCCCCAGACAATGGAATGAAGCTGAGTGACCTCCTCCCCTGTCCCCACTCACTAAAGACATGTTCCAGTGGGCTGATTTCCCTTCATTCCTTTCCTGGGATGGGTAAATACTTATACCTGGTGTGTGTGTGTGTGTGTGTGTGTGTGTGTGTGTGTGTGTGTGTGTGTGTGTGTGTGTGTGTGTGTGTTGGTATGTGTGTCATTCCTCTGCTCAGGAACCCAGAATTAGCCAGGAGAAAAGACAAAGGTTTTGTTGGATTCTCTCAGGCTTTCTGTTTTCACACTGCAATTGGTTAAGGAGTGAGGGTTGGGCAGGGTAGAGCTGCTTCCTTCTCTAGTTGGGTTCACAAATTCTCTGCCTTCCTATTCTCCAGTGATTGGGTTGCTTCCTGCTTTCCCTCATTCTTTTCTTTTCTTTTTTGGTCAGTTGTGGGGCTTGAACTCTGGGCTTGGGTGCTGTCTCTGCACTCTTCAGCTCAAGGCGAGTGCTCTACCGCTTGAGCCACAGTGCCACTTCGGTTTTCTAGTGGTTTACTGGAGATGAGAGTCTCACAGACTTTTCTACCCGGGCTGGCTTTGAACTGCCATCCTCAGATCTCAGCCTCCTGAGTAGGTAGGATTACAGGCATGAGCCACCAGCGCCAGGCTTCCCTCATTTTTTTCTCCCTTCCCTCTTTCCTTCCTTCCTTCCTTCCTCTTGCCTTTTTTTTTTTTTTTGACACAGGGTCTCATTCTATAGCCCAAGTTGCCTTGGGATTCAAGATCCTCCTGCCTCTGCCTCCCAAATGCTGGGATACAGGCATGAACTACCACAGCAGGTTGTTCATATGTATGTATACACACACACACATACACACATATATGGCTTGAACTTAGGGCCTAGGTCCTGTTCTCTACATTTTGCTCAGGGCTAGCACTCTACCAATTAAGCCACAACTCCATTTCTGGCCTTTTGGTGGTTAATTGGAGATAAAAGTCTCACAGGCTTTCCTTCTAACCACAATCCTCAGATCTCAGAATCATGAGTAGCTAAGGAAGATTACAGGTGGAAACCTGTCTGCTGGATGGGACACAGAGAGACCCACAGTCTCACTATGGTTATTGTGTATAAGAAACATTAGGAGAAAAAGCAGGGCACAGAATAAAGCTCCACATGGACCCCCAAATAGGCAAGTCCTACGCACACCAATCAGGAGATAGTTTTGTTTTTTGAGACAGGCTTTTGCTATGATCTCATTGACTAATACCTTGCTATTTTGCCCCGGAAATGGTCTAGAGTGGGTACAGTGATGAATTTGAATCCTGAGTGAAAAGTTGGGTAAGTTGTTAACTCTGTGTGTGTGTTTATTTATTTATTTATTTTTGGTCCGGTCATGGGGCCTGAACTCTGGGCCTGGGTGCTGTCCCTCAGCTCTTCAGCTCAAGGCTAGCGCTCTACCACTTGAGCCACAGCACCACTTCCGGCTTTTTTCTTTTTGTTTATGTGGTGCTGAGGAATTGAAGCCATGCATGCAAGGCAAGCACTCTACCACTGAGCCACCTTCCCAGCTCCTGTGTGTGTATTTTTTGTAAAAATAAAAAATTTATGATTTAAATCTCCTCTCACTTTTTTTTTTTTTTTTTTTTTGAGAATTTCCTTATTTTGTACAGGCTGGCCTTCAACTCATGATCCTTCTATCTTGGCTTCTCCAGTGCTGGATTCACAGGTGTATGCCACCTGCTTCTCTCTCTCTCTCTCTCTCTCTCTCCCTCTCCCTCTCTTTTCCTCTCCCTCTCCCACCCCCCTCTGTCTTTCTTTTTCTCCCTGCCAGTCCTGGGGCTTGAATTCAGGGCCTGAGCACTGTCCCTGAGCTTCTTTTTGCTCAAGGCTAGCACTCTACCACTTGAGCCACAGTGCCACTTCTGGCTTTTTCTGTTTATGTGGTACTGAGGAATTGAACCCAGGGCTTCATGCATGCTAGACAAGCACTCTATCACTAAGCCACATTCCCAGACCCACCATGCTTGCTTGCTTTCTCTTTCTTTCTTTCTTTTGTTCTCTTTCTTGTTTCTCTCCCTTTCCCTCTCCTCCTCTCTTTCCTCTCTCCCTCCCTCCCCCTCTCTCTTTTGTTTGTGGGGCTTGAACTCTGGGCCTGGGTGCTGTCCCTCAGCTCTTCAGCTCAAGACTAGTGCTCTACCATTTGAGCCACAGCGCCACTTCCAGTTTTCTGGTGGTTAATAGTCTGGAGACAATAGTCTCATAGACTTTCCTGCCTGGGCTGGCTTTGAACCGCGATCCTCAGACTCAGCCTCTTGAGTAGCTAGGATTACAAGCATGAGCCACCCGTGTCCAGCTTCCACCATGATGTTTCTTATGGACAGTTTACTAAACATACACATTCTTGCCTTTATCTTCTGCCACTCATGCACCCCTGTCATACTGCATCTCCATTCAATAGAAGTTCCCTGCAAAGATGGGCTGGGAAGGTGGCTCAGTGGTAAAGTGCTCGCCTTGCATGCATGAGGCCCTGGGTTCGATTCCTCAGCACCACATAAGCAAAAAGAAAAAAGCCAGAAGTGGCGCTGTGGCTCAAGTGGTAGAGCGCTAGCCTTGAGCTGAAGAGCTGAGGGATAGCGCCCAGGCCCAGAGTTCAGGCCCCACGACCGGACCCCCCCCCCCAAAAAAAAAAGAAGTTCCCTGCAAAGAAACTTTATGTTTTTGACTGATTGCACTTTTTTTTCCCTTTCTGGTACTAGAGGGTTTGAAGCTGGCCTCATACTCTTGCCTGGCTTTTTCATACAAGGGTGACTCTATGATTTGAGCCACAGCTCCACTTCTTGTTTCAAGGTAGTTAATTAGAGATAAGAGTGTCTTGGACTTTAATGCTTAGGCTTTGTATCAGTGATCCTCAGATTTCAGCCATTTGAACAGTTAGAATTACAGGTGTGAGCCACCTATACCCTGCTTAGAATTTTTTTTTATTGTAACAGTATTGGGACTTTAACTTAGGGCTTTATGCTCTTGCTTGGCTTTTTGCTCTATCACTGAGCTAATTTCTTTCTTTTTTTTTTTTTGTTTTGTTTTTGGGTCCGGTCATGGGGCCTGAACTCTGGGCCTGGGCGCTGTCGCTCACCTCTTCAGCTCAAGGCTAGCGCTCTACCACTTGAGCCACAGCACCACTTCTGGCTTTTTTCTTTTTTCTTTTTGCTTATGTGGTGCTGGGCAATCGAACCCAGGGCCTCAGGCATGCAAGGCAAGCGCTCTACCACTGAGCCACCTTCCCAGCCCTGACCGAGCTAATTTCTTGATTACAGTTTTAAACTCCCACTTTCCTGCCATTTGATACAGAGATCTGAGACTGCATCTTCCGAATTGAAATTCTCAAAGGCCTTCTTTCTTTGACAGTTTCTGAGTGTGGATGGATGGTCAGTGTGTTTATGGGTAGTGATTTTGAATCCTGACCGTAAAAAGTTGGAAAATGGGGAAGGAGAACATTAGAAGAGGTTTAATCTAAATCATAATATATGCATGTGTGAATTACAATAAAATAAAACAAAACAAACCTGGGGGGGGGAGGGGAGAACTTGGATAAGTCCTTAACCAGTTTGCTATTAATTCTCATCTGTAAAATGAAACTGATAGTAAAGTGACCTCAGATGAAAGAAAATGTGAGCCTGGAATTAACCTCCTGGGTCCAAAATCCATGTTCCCATTGCCAAGCTGAAAACAGCAAAGGCTAAAAAAATTCCCCACTAAAACTAGGTTAAATGTATACTATTGGTTTTTCTGTACATAAATATACTAGGATCGGAGATATAGCTCAGTGGCAGAGCACAATGAATGGTGAGGCCCTGGGTTCAATGTCTGGGCCTCAAAAAAATTCCATTAGTAGGCTGTGAATTCTAGGCCATTTCTGGGGTGGTGAGTTCTAGGCCAGTTCCAGGGCAAAATAAGATGTTGGCCAACAAGATCATAGCAAGATCCTGTCTCAAAAAACCAAAAACTGGGCAGGACGGTGGCTTCCGCCTGTAATCTTAGCTACTCAGGAGGCTGAGATCTGAGTATCTCGGTTCAAAGGCAGCCGGAACAGGAAAGTCCTAGAGACTTATCTCCAATAAACCACCATTCTGGAAGTGTCGCTGTGGCTCAAGCTCACCTTGAGCTGAAGAGCTCAGGGACAGCATCCAGGCTCAGAGTTCAAGCCCCATGATTGACAAAAACAAAACAAAAAACAAAAAAAAAAAATTGGGCTGAGAATGTGGCTTAGTGCTTGGCCTTTCATGGATGGAGCCCTGGGTTCGATTCCTCAGTACCACGTAAACAGAAAAAGCTGGAAGTGGCGCTGTGGCTCAAATGGTAGATTACTAGGCTTGAGCAAAAAGAAACTCAGGGATAGTGCCCAGGCCGAGTGCAAGCCCTAGGACTGGCAAAACAAAGAAAACAACAACAACAATAAAGAAAATGTGAGCCTTAACAGGTAGAATAGGGGCTAGGGATACAGCTGAGTGGCAAAGTATTTGCCTAGTATTTGAGAGGCCCTGGCCAAGATGCCCACCACTGCATAAATTAAATAAATATAGTAAACAAATAAATGAAAATGTTTCATACATCCTTGATTTGGCCATTTTATATGATTTTTCTTTTACAAGTTAACCACCACCTTTTCTTCCCTAGTGCCCCTCCACTCTGTAGAGGCCCCACCCTTAGACTCCTCCCCCACTACTCCCTCGGGTGGATCCCTCCCTTTGGCTCCTCTCTTCCCGCAGGCGCTCTGAGCCGCGCTGAGTCAGGCCGCGCCCGGTTAGGGCGTGGCAGGCGCGTGCGCACTGACGCTAGCGTCGGGGTGGGGGGTAGGTTTATATGTGCCGGGGTCAGCTGACACTCTGCATTGCAGACAGCCGAGTCTAGCGGCGCCATGTATGCTCTCGTTCTCCTGGCTGGCCTCCTGGGCACTGGTGAGACTGGGACCCCAGCTCTGGGGAAGGGGTGCCCCGCAGCGTCCACCTGTTCCTGCCTGGGCCGTGCTGGGTCTCGCGGGCCTCGCCTCGCTTCTCCGGTCGGCTGGTCGGTGGACTCGGTGCGGGGCGCGCACTGCGCAGGCGCCGGCCTGGGCCTGTACCTGCGGCCGCGGCCGGAGAGGCTGTGGGGAGCCGGGCGAGGGCTGCGGGGCCGAGGCGGGTGGGACCAAGGAGTGGCGGCTCAGACGGCTCACTGCAGGTCCCTGCGCTACTGGAGTGGCCGAGCCTTCTGAGGCCTTGCTGAGGCTGCCCTTCCCGCTGTGGGGGTGGGCCCTGCGGGTGACCCCTCCCGCAGTCGTGTTGTGACTGTGCGGGGCGCACGTGATCCCTGTGGCCCGGAACCTTGTCCTAAGGGAACGGGACAGAACTATGGCCTTGGGTCTCCCAGTTTGTACTGGTGTGTCGTCCATTTTGGTGGTTCTCTTTTCGTATATACCCCCGGATCGGGAATTGTGGTCCCCATTGTATTGCAATGAAATCTTGACCTCACCTGGGTTCAGAGCCTTGCATGGCTACTGGACAGCCATTACTTATTGTTTTGGGAGGAGGGGGGGGGATACAGATTTGTGAGGGTTGTGCACACAGTGTCGCACTTGTTTTAAAATAGTCCCGAGGATTGTCAAACTCATCGGAGGTTATGAAGAGACCCCTGGGACCACCTGTGTGGTCTTCTTGATATTAGACTAGGCCTCCTTCCCTCTCCCCCGCAGCCCCAGTGCCTTGTGACCTTTCTTTTCCCCTTGCATCTATTTAAAATGTCATGGTTAAGAGAAAAAGAGTGAGGCTAAGTATAAAAATTATACGTTTGTGGGCTGGGAAGGTGGCTTAGTGGTAGAGTGCTTGCCTAGCATGCATGAAGCCCTGGGTTGGATTCCTCAGTACCACATACAAAGTCAGAAGTGGCGCAGTGGCTCAAGTGGTAGAACGCTAGTCTTGAGCAAAAGAGCTCAGGGACAGTGCTCAGGCCCTGAGTTCAAGCCTCAAGACTGGCCAAAAAAAAAAAAAAATTACGGTTTGATGCAGTTGCTGGATTTTAACCTCTGTGGTGAGGATCCAGGTGTTTTCAGGTTTTTTTTTTAATTTTTATTTTTTTTATTGTGAAAATACTGTACAGAGGGGCAATACTGTACAATACTGTACAATTACATGGGCAAGATAATGAGTACATTTCTTATCAAGCATTGTAGCCGCCTCCTGTTTTCAGGTTTTATCCAAAGGAAACAAACCTTATCTTTGCCTAACTTCTGTGCTCATTTCTTGTTACCTGTGTCATTTTGTTTTGTTGTTTTTAATGTGCTGTTCCAAGGACTTGCCCTGAGCTTTTTTTTTTTTTCTCAAGGCTAATGCTCTGTCACTTGAGCCATAGCTCCACTTCTGGCTTTTTGGTGGTTAACTGGAGATAAAAATCTCAGGGACTTTCCTACCTGGGCTTGGTTTAAATCTCAATTCTCAGATCTCAGCCTCCTGAACAGCTAAGCATGAGTCACAGGCCTTCTGTTTTGCTTTTTGAGACAGGGTTTCACTGTGTAGCCCAGTCTGGCTTGAAGTGACTTTCTTCTGCATTCTCTCTTCTTGTGCAGGATTTTTTTTTTCTTGTTCCTTTTTGTGTTCAAGGTTATGGACCTTGAATTCAGGGTCTGGTTGCTGTCCCTTAGTTTTTTGGCTCAAGGCCAGCACTCTACCTCTTGAGCCACAGCTTCACTTCTTTTCTGCCTGGGCTACTTGTTCCTCAGATCTTAGCCCCTTGAATAGCTAGGGTTACAGGCATGAGCCATGGGTGGGTGCCCAGCTTTGTGGAGGGGGTTGAAGCAGAACATAGGGTCTACTGAGCCACACCCCCAAGTCCTTAATTGTTTCTTTGGAAATGTGAAACCCATTTCTAGTATATGTGTCTATATGTTTAATCAGATTCTGGCTAGTCAAGTGCCCCTCTTCCCTGAGCACTTTGATAAGTGGGGTGTGTTAACATTTATGACCTTGGTTTAATTGTGCTGCCAGGTCCTTAGATTATGCCAAGGTCTCTATATGAATGATAGCTTGTCATGACAAGTCTTCCTCATTGTGGCTGTCTGGAGAAGTTGTTTCTAAAGTTTCTGGAAATAGCTAGGCTGAGTTAGTGAATGAGTGGTCTGACTATGGCTACTGTCCACTCCCTGGTAGACGGTTGCAGCACAGGGTGCCATCCTAATACTGGAGAGGCTCCATATCTTACTTTTCTTCCCTTCTTCTCTTTCCTGTGGCTGGGGATTGAATTCAGGACCTGGGTACTGTCCCTTGGCTTTTTGCTCAAGGCTGGCATTGTATGGCTTGAGCTATACCTCCCCTTGCATTTTGGTGGCTAATTGGAGGTTAGAGTCTCATGGACTTTCCTGTCTGGGCTGGCTTTGAACCTCTATTCTTGGATCTCAGTCTGCTGAGTAGGAGTGCAGATGTGAGCCACTAACACCTGACTTTTTGTATGTGCTCATGTGCATGTATGTTCATGCATATGTGCAAATGCCCACACCAGTCTTGGGACCTGAATTCAGGCCTCATATTTCTGCTTTTTTTTTTTTTTTTCATGCCAGTCCTGAGGCTTGAACTCGGGGCCTGGGCACTGTCCCTGAGCTTCTTTTGCTCGAGGCTAGTACTCTACCACTTGAGCCATGGCGCCACTTCTGGCTTTTTCTGTTTATGTGGTACTGAGGAATTGAACCCAGAACTTCATACATGCTAGGCAAGCATTCTACAACCAAGCCACATTCCCAGCCCTTGCTTAAGTTTTTTGATCAAGGCTAGCACTCTACCACTTAAGCCCATACTTCTGCTTCTGGCTTTTTGCTAGTTTATTGGAGATGAAGTCTTGGAAGCTTTTCCTGCCTACTCTGCCTTTGAACCTCAGTGATCAAATCTCAGCCTCCTGAGTAGCTAGGATTATAGGCATGAGACACAGGCTATAATTGTTGACTGAGATGTAGATGTCTGACATCCAATCGCTGACACTTTATGACCTTGAGCAATTTACTTAACCTCTTGATTTCCTCATGTGTAAAGTGACATTAATTGTTACTGCCAAGCTGGATTGCTCCAAGGCTTTAATAAATTAGTGCATGAGAGGGCTTAGTAAAATAACTTGTTTGTTGTTGTGAACTAATAAATGTGGTGTTAAGTTGCCAGTGCCCTTGTGCTACCAGCCTTGTGATCCTCCTCTGTCCTTGACTTTGTTATGTCCATGGCACCTTTTTTTTTTTTTTTTTTTTTTTGCTGGGTTGTGGGCTTGAACTCTGGGCCTGGGCACTGTCCCTCTTCAGCTCAAGGCTAGCACTCTACCACTTGAGCCACAGCACCACTATGGTTTTGTGAGTGGTTTATTGGAGTCTCATGGACTTTCCTGCCAGGGCTGGCTTTGAACCGTGATCCTCAGATCTCATCCTCCAGAGTAGCTAGGGTAGAGACGTGAGCCACCAACCTCTGATACACCTTTCATTTTAAAAGATGCTGTGAGTTAGCAGCAAATCTAAATGGACTTATTCATAATGTATATGCTACCAGTGGAAAAGAATTTGAAGAAGAAAAAGAAGAGAAGGCAGAAGAGTTAGAGGGAAAAAGGGATAAGAGCCTTTCTTTTTTGCAATAAATGTCAGAAACCACCTGTTTAAAAAAAAAAAAGTGCTAGCCGGGTGCTGTTGACTTATGCCTGTAATCCTAACTACTCAGGAGGTTGAAATCTGAGGATCACAGTTCAGAGCTAGCCAGGGCAGGAATGTCCAGGAGACTTTTTTGTGAGGGTAGGGAGGTGGGGAGGTAGGGGGAGGGTGAGGGTTTGGGGGGGGGGGTCAATTGTGGGGCTTGAACTCTGGGTCTGGGCACTGTCCCTGAGCTCTTCAGCTCAAGGCTAGTGATCTACCAGTTTGAGCCACAGCACCACTTCTGTTTTTTTCTAGTGGTTAATTGGAGACAAGAGTCTCACAGACTTTCCTGCCCAGGGTGGCTTTGAACAGTGGTCCTCAGATCTCAGCCACCTCAGTAGCTAGGATTATAGGTGTGAGCCACCGGCACCAGGCTTCCAGGATACTTTTATCTCTAACCACTAGAAAACCAGAAGTGGCACTGTGACTCAAAGTGGTGGTAGCTAGCCTTGAGCTTAGAGTTAAAACTCCATGACTGACAAAAAAAAGTATGTGCAAAAAAAAAAAAAGTATGTGTTGAGATCTGGCACAAGTGGCCCTCTCACCTGTAACACTAGCTAATATTGGAGGCTGAGTTCTGCAAATTGATTTTCAAAGCCAGCCAAATTCAAAGCTGGAAGTGGAGGTGTGGCTTAAGTGACAGAGTGCCAGTTGGGAGCGAAAAGGCCAAGTAAGAGTTTGAGACCTTGAATGTGGCTCAAGTGGTAGAGCGCTAGCCTTGAGCTGAAGAGCTGAGGGACAGCGCCCAGGCCCAGAATTCAGGCCCCACAACAGATCAAAAAAAAAAAAAAAGAGTTTGAGACCTTGAATTCAAGCCCCAGTTACACACACATACTCTCTCTTTCTCTCTCTTTTTCTCTCTCTTTCTCTCTCTCTCTCTGAAAACAAGCCTATATGTTGGGCATAATTACTGAGTCAGGAAAACACCAGCTAGGAGTGAGTTGAGTGTGCATGCTCCAGGGAGCTGAGCTAAGCTTAGCTACTGGGTCAGCCTAAGGGGATTGCAGCTGATTTCTGGTAAACATCGCTAACTCTTGAGACCTGGTTTAAGCCCCAACTTGATTTCCCCATCCATAAGTGGATTTTTGCACTGGGCTCCCCTGTAGATAATCCCCTTTATGACTTGGGCATTGCTACTCTGCAGGCCTCTGCATTTGAGATCTCCTCAGCCTGCAGGATATTGTTTTGGGTTTTCACCATTTTGCAGATGTTATATATATTCTTAGGTGAGGTTTACCCTGTCACAAGTGTTTGGGTCTACTTTAGTGT